TGGACCTACTCACAAGTCAAGAAGGAGTTAAGTGAAGTCCAAAGCCAAAGGCCAACGCCCAAGTGAGAACCATAGGGGCGCTGCCTAGGGGCCACCCAAGGCTACCCCCTAGCCTTCTCCTTCACCCTCTTCACTCTAATGCAAATCTAAAACTAATCCAAGTCAAGCTCCAAGTCCAAGTCCAAACTCAAGATCAGGATCATCTTCCGACAGAATAGGGACACGGGGGAGAAAATATCGGGATACGCACGGAGATCAAATCATATCATAACTATACTTACCAAAGTGGTAGAAACCCTCTCCCTTACATCACCGCCTCACCGCCTTACTATGCCTATATAATGTAAGCTCCCTCTAGAAGGAGAGGGATGGGAGAGACAACATAGAGACCTCTACACCTTGAAACTTCTACACACACTACACCTAAAGCTTTTGCTTCTCTACACACATTGTTCTCTCTCTATCTCTCCCGAAGCATTGTATTTCTACTGGAGTGTTCTCCTAAAAACATTATACATTAATAAAGATCTCCGGCCACCGCTGCCATTCCCAAGAGTGGAGTAGGTCACTCGGACCGAACCACTATAAATCCTTGTGTTAGCTCCATTATTTACCATTTCACCATTAATTGTTTGTTTATTGATCATTCATTGCTTATATTCATATTCTTGACTGTTGATCTTGCACAAGACCAATTTGTGCATCATCACACTATTTAAAAATTAAATTAAAATAGCCTCCTAGTCAGAGTCAAAGCCCACATTCGGAGTGAAAAAGGGCTAAGACCTCTCGTCCCAGTAGAGTCTCAGCCTCCTTAAATAGTCTATCTAAAATCTAAGAGACTCTCCCACAAAGAGGATTCTAGAATTGAATTGTGGTGGTACAAGATATTATTATGATCGTTATGTATGATTGTGTGTTCTGTAGATAGGTTAAAATCTTTTCTGATAAATTAGTGGGGATTAGATTGTTTTCAATTTATTTAATTGAAGCAAATGATGTAAAAATTATTTCAAATTGATTGTTTATTTTAGGTTGCAAAGTTTTTTTAGGCACGGTGGTATTCTTCAAGTTTTAATTCATTTTTTTGTTATTTCGTGCCTTTCGACACGGATAATTACTAGTAATAATATATTATGTAGTCTATCACTAACCAATAATAATACATTATGTAGTATAAGTGAATTTCACTAATTCAAGGTATTAGTTACAATATGGTAGTTATTGTGTAACAACCAAACACTAGAACCGACCCTGCACCACAATACCACTAAAATTGCAAAACCTAACACTACAAACATTAATCCTTGTCATCGTCTTGGATGCAATCTTGATTGTCCAACCCTACCTCCATTTTGACCGAAAGAGTATGGTGGTCATTAGGCCTCTTAAAGTCAAACACAACACAATTAATCAACACAAATTAAACGAGTTTGTGTGAGACCTTAACATGTTAAGGTGATAATAGGGTTAACCTGCCAATCACGTTTAGTAAATGGGTTGTGTTTTGGTGAGACATGTCAACCCGTTTATCACTCGTTTACCCGTTTAAATAAGATTAATATAATAATAAATTAATAATTATTTAAAAAAATTAGTGACAGTCCCAGAAATTTTTTTAGTGACAACCACAGAAAATATATAAGCCTTCTAAAATTGTTAGATTATTAGTTTTATAAAGTTTATAGTATTTTTAAACAAATATGTAAATGGGTCTAACAGAAGGTTTATCGTGTTAATCCGACCCTACCCAACATAATTTGTATAAAACTAAACGGGTTAAACGAGTCGTGTCGTGTTATCCGTTTATTAAATGGTTTGTGTTCGTGTTGAAGTTTTTCACCCGTTTATTAAATGTGTCTTATATGGGTTTACATGTTTTTCACCCGTCACTCGTTTAACACCATACATAGCCGTTTAACCCGACACGATTGACACTCTTAGTGATCATGTCACTTGGGTTAAGTGTCATATTTCATCCTTTTTAAAATTTGAGTTTGTTTGTTTTTTTAAATCAAATTTTTCAATCAAATATTAACTCAAATTAGAGTTAAAACATGTTTAAAAAAAAAAAAGGACCGCTAGTTTGATTCAAATATAAATTGTTATCGTTTTATTTTAATTGAGAATATAAGCATCTTTTGGGGCACAAAGTGTTATTAAATTTAATATTTATAACATTGTATATTAAATTTTAGGGTTTTAAGGGGGCTGGTATCTTTTTCAAAAATTATAGGGCAAAAAGTACTACTTTTAAAAATTTAGGTCAAAAAGTACACAACCCCTAACAAATATCTAAAATACCCTTTTCAGTAAAATAAGAACTGATTCCTATATTTTTGCTTCCACAACCGAAACTTGAGGGATCTCAACTGTTACACATAAATTCCTTCAATATTGCCGGAAACTTAATTCTTCCAAAAACTTCCATAAAACCTGTTTTTGGATTTTCAAAACTTCCTGTTGATCATTGCTGAAGAAAGGATCTTTTCAAAATTTCACTATCCAAATCTTCACCTTTTTCTGCAACATAAAGACACCAACCAACCACAACCCAAATTTAAGGATAGAAGTTCTACAAAATTTACCAACACTGCCGCCGATAACTCCGATGGACTGGGAAATTTCAGAGATCCGAAAGTCATGAGTTTCTGGCACTTTTAGCTCTTCACTGGAGAATTGGTCGGAGGGAAAATTTGGACTTTGTTTAGGTGGGGTTTCACTGGGATTAATTGGGTTTGCTGGGGGTGATTGGGGGAGGAGGTTTGGGAGAGGGTTTTGTTATGGTCTTGAGGATTTTGGGGCGGAGATAGTTTTTTCTCTTGATGGATTTTGATAGGAATGGAGTGAAAGTTCAAGAAATTAAGAAGGATTTTCTGCAAACGGGAGTGGCTGTAGTAGAAGGATGGAGAAAGATAGGAGTGGTTGAATTTTTTGAAAAAGAAGTTGATAATTCAAGAAAAATGTTGTTTCTTTTATTTTATCTACTTTTTTTCCCCTCAATCACCTTTCTATTTCTAGTGTTTTGTACTACATGCGCACCAAGTGTTTGATTATTTGCCCAAAAAAAAACCAAAGAGGCCATATACATTGTGATATGTGTCATGTGTCATGCCAATATATGTAGTGTGACATTGATTTGTAATAGTGTGGCATTGGTTTCTACCAGTGTGAATTTGATTTGTAGCAATGTGATATTTTTTAGTCTCAGTGTGATATTGTCTTGTAGCACTGTGACATTATTGTACGAGGCAACAAATCATCCTTTGAATCAAAATTATCATTTTGATTATTACGATCATCCCCATTTGAGTCATCATCATTGACATTTATCCTCACAATGAATAGGCTTGACGTTAAGAGACCATAATGATTTTATTTATAAAAAAAAAAACATATAGACGATATTGTAGGAGTGTGAATTTGGTTTGTAGCAGTGTGACATTATCTTGTAGCATTGTGACATTGTTCATGTCTTCTCCATATTTGTATAATTTGTTTTTTTTTATAAATTATAATAATCAAGATGATGATTTTGATTCAGAGGATGAATGAAAGAGAAAGATATAATGTAAAATTCAAAAATGTTATTCAATAAATTTAGGAAACTGAAGCCCTAATATAACTGTCATATTTGACTTCCATTAATAAAGGAAAAGGGCAATTTCGTAAGAGAAAAAATTACAATTCAGCAAAAGTATACCTATTCACCAAACATTTACACACAAATATATTTCTACACATGTTTTATATTGAAGTACTTTTACACAAATAAGTATGAAATGGTATACTTTTTCACAAATTTCCCAGTTGACCCAGATAATCTTAAATACAGTAGGGTTCTAATGTGATTGGTATATTGATAATTATTTTTATTTTATTCAATGATTTATAAGTGGAACCTTAATCAAATTAATTTTTAATTATCTATTCTCTATTTATAACTGTCAATTTTTATGAAATTTTATTATTGATTATATTACTCTTAAAAAATATATGTATTATTATAAATTTTAACAAAATATTCAAAAAAAACCTTCAAAAACTCCATCAATATAAAATGGCTCATCTCATTTATAAAGATAATATTATAACTACATATATATATTTCATTTTTCATCAAAACTACTTTATTTTTAAGATAAAAAATAGGACAAAATCCAATTTACCCCTTCGTAGTTTGTGCCTTGAGCAGATGACCCCTCTATCATTTGAAAATATGCACATCACCCCATGTGGTTATGGACTAAACTGCAGCTCTCATTTCGTTAAACGGTGATTGTAAAAATACTATAATACCCTTAAATATATATGTGGTCTACCAAAGAGCCTTGGCCCTAAATGTCGTCTACCCAGCAACAGAGGAAGTCTCTTTCTTCTCTCTCTCTACCAGCCCTTGAACCCACGAAATTTTAGGGCTTTAATTTCCTAATGAATCGAAATTAGGGCTTCGATTTCTTGATGATTTGAAGTTAGGGCTTCGATTTCTTGATGATTTGAAGTTAGAGCTTCAATTTCTTGATGATTTGAAGTTAAGGCTTCGATTGACCAGTTAAATAGGCAGAAGATTCAGGGCCAAAAATAAGGTTAGCTTATTTCCCGTTTTCATTATATGCTAAATTATGCATCGAGTAAAAATCTTTGTGTGTGAAAATCTTTATATCTTTTTCATTTTTGTTTTGTGTTTGTGGCATAGATTTGTTGTTTATTGGCTTAGTGGTCCTACCACTAAGGATTTTTCTTTTAAATATTTGGTTTTTTTGGGTTTGTGGTCATACCAAACGGTTCCATCTGTGAGTGTTTTTTCTAGTTTGTGGTCCTACCACATGTTGTATGGTCATTGTGGATGGGTAAAAGGGGACAAAGGTTTCCCTACTGTTTTGTTTATTAATGTACATCTTTTAACGCATAATGGGTTGGGACAAATTTGTTGTTGAATTGCATCATGGGGAAAGTTCACGTGGACACCAAAAATTGTTTACAAAGGTGGTACTGTAAGTATGATTGAAGATTGCAAACCAGACAAATTTTCTTTGCTTGAGATTATAGACATGTATGTAACAGTAGGAGGAGAATGGGTGAATGTTGACATATATTATAGGGTTTTTGGGTACAGTTTGGACATGGGAGTAAAGCAATTGAGGTCAGACTGTGATGTTATCGTGTTACTAAAATGTTATGAAGACCTGCCAGTAGTTGTAATATACATTGATGAAGTTGACGTTAATGTCAACGAACAGACTCAAAACAGTGATACACTTGAGACTGATTCTAATGACAGTGACTATGTACTGAATACCTCTGAATGTTATGACAGTGACGAGTATAGTGAGGACCATAGTTGGATTTATGAAGACCTAGAAGGTCCAAATGATGATGACATTTTCAGAAGTGACTTGCCACCTAATGGGGCTGAAGCATCTTTTGAAGCCTGAACATGGAGCATTGCAACCAACCTTTCAGAGAATGTATTGGAGTTTGGGAGCCATAAAAGAAGGATTTGTTACTGGTTGTAGACCTATTATAGTTCTTGATGGTTGCCATTTGAAAGGGATATATGGAGGCCAACTTCTTAGTGCAATAGGTAGAGATGGAAATGATAACATGTTCTCAATTGCTTTAGCAGTTGTTGAGATTGAGTGTAAAGATTCTTGGAGTTGGTTTCTAACTGAATTGACAAGAGACTTGGGAAGGCATGAGGATATGAGTTGGGAGTTTATTTTTGATAGACAAAAAGACCTTGTGGAAACATTTGAGCAACTGATGCCTACAGCACCCCATAGATACTGTCTCAGACATATGTATAACAATTTCAAGTCTAAGTATAAGGGTGTAGAGTTGAAGAAATTTTTCTGGAATGCTGCATCAACTGCTAGTGTGAATGACTTTAAATACTGGATGGCTAAGATAGAACAGGTTGACAAGAATGCTGTTGAGTGGTTGAAGTGCGTCAACCCAACTTTGTGGACTAGATCACACTTCTCTACGAGAAGTAAATGTGATATTTTTGTGAACAACTTATCTGAATCGTTTAATTCATATATTCTTGAAGCAAGAAATATACCCATAATTAGTATGTTTGAGTGGATTCGGAGGAAACTCATGAGCAGAATACAAGTAAGGAGGAAGGGTATACAAAATTATACTGGGTTAATATGCCCTCGTATTCAGGAAAAACTAGAACAAAACAAGGTTGATTCGAGGAATTGTTTTCCTACTTGGTGTGGTGAGCTTGAGTTTGAGGTGGACCATTTTGATAGGGTGTTCATAGTGGATTTTAGAGCAAGAACATGTACTTGCAAAATGTGGGAGTTGTTTGGGCTACCTTGTTGCCATGCGATAGGTGTCATACAATCAAATAATGAGCAACTAGAGACATATGTGCACGAATGTTACACCAAAACTGTATATATGGCAGCATATGCACACATGATACCTTCAGTCCCTAGCATGCATGATTATGTTCATACTGGATTACACCCATTGAAACCCCCATTACTCCGAAAACTACCTGGAAGACCAAAAAAATTGAGGAGAAGGGAGGCAGATGAGCCTAGATACCCCTATAAGGCCTCTAGGAAAAAACTTAATGTCACATGTACAAAATGCTTGAAGACTGGTCACAACAGACGATCATGCAAGAACAAGATCCATCCTAAATCAAAGTTATTGATGGTAAGAGTGATTTTTTAAATATCATTTGTGCATTATTTTTGTTTTTTGAAAAACAAACTAATTATAAATTTTTTTGTTTTGTAGAAATCCACTGATGATGCAGCCTCCATTGATGGTCCAACCTCAACTACTGTTGCCTCCACTGCTCCTGTCGCCAATGTTGCTACCTTCAATGTTGCTGCTGCCTCTAGTGCTGATGGTCAAGCCTCCACTACTCCTGCCGCCAATGTTGCTGCCTCCAATGTTGTTGCTACCTCATTGTTGCTGTCTCCAATGCTGATGCCTCCAATGCTGCTGGTGCCTCTAGTGCTGATGGTCAAGCCTCCATTGCTACTACCTTAACTGCTCCTACCGCTAATGTTGCTGCCTCAATTGCTGCTGCCTCAAATGTTGTTGCTGCCTCTAGTGCTGATGGTCAAGCGTACATTGTTGTTGCATCCACTGCTGCACCCTCCATTGATAGTCAAGCCTCAACTGCTGTTGCAGCATGCACTGTTGGTCGTAGGAGTGGTGCAGTTGGGAGATGTTCCGGGAGCTGTGCCATTAACAAGTATATCAAACTTGTTCAACCTGCTAGAAATGTGCAACAAACATGTATATCCAACTTATTGGATAGAATTAGGTCTAAGAAAAGGTCATAATTAAGTTTGAATATTTTTTTTGTCTATGTTATATCAAAAGAGCCTTTTGAAAATATGTTATGTGCTCTTTTGATTGTGCAAAGTCTATGTGCTCTTTTGATTGTATTGAACATGTATTTCCTTTTGGTTATATGGGAAAATGGTTGTGAGCATTTTGCTCCTTTTGGTTATATTTTTCTCATTTTGCTCCATAGAAGTCTGATATTGTGTCAAATAGACAGTTCATTAGATAAAACACATTTACATTACATTAAATACAAACTAGTCCTTCAAAACATAGACAACATGTTTTTAGTTCTTGCTTAAGACTAAATCCAATACTGGCAAACAAATTGCAAGTACAATAAACATTCTCCTTAGCATAGACTTCATGGCCTCCTAATCAGACTTCATGGCCTCCTGATTAGCTTCAAGCATCATCACCCTATTGCTTATTTTTGCAATTTCATCATCATTTGGAGTGGCAGGCATACCAATAACTGAAATGGGATAACACCATGCCTTAAATTCATAATTTTTAGTCTCACAAACATAATACAATCTTCCCTTCGACGGTTTCTCGGAACCAACCACTTTGATTATCACTTTACACCCACATCCAAAAATTTGGGTACTGAACCTCAAATCCATAGGTTCCTCTCCCCTTGAGTTGCTCGAGTATGACATCTAATTATAACAAAACATTATTATGAAGTCGTTACATATATTTTAAATAAAAATAATTATAATAAGAAAAGCATAATCTTTATCATAGTAATTTATTAGCCATTATATTACTCAAAAAACATCTATAAATAAATTACCTTTTTATGGTAGCTCCCTTCCTCTAGCTCCAACAAAAAGTAGTTCTCCAGCCTTCCGAAGGAAATAAAAATCTTTGGGGTTTTCATAGCATTGGAGGGTCATTTTGGACATTTGACTATATTTATTTTGGAGGGAAGCTGATTTCTTCTTTCTTCAATCGCCAAATCAGCACGTCCACTGCACTGCCGTTTTTTCTGACGAAAAACGTGAGAGCTGTAGTTTAGTCCATAACCACAAGGAGGTGATGTGCATATTTCCAAATGATAGAAGTGTCATCTGCTCAAGGCACAAACTACGAGGAAATAAACTAGATTTTGCCCTAAAAAATAATGTATATATAGGTTTACATGATTTTTTAGTTGGAATAAATTTTTTAAACTGTGTTAAAATTTTATATGAAAACTTGAATTTTTTTAAAATTTTAAATGCTATAATATATATTATAGCGTTGTATATTAAATTTATCTCAATTGACCTAATTAATTCTAAATACAGTAAAGTTCCAATATGATTGGTATATTGATAATTATTTTTATTTTGTTCAATGATTTATAAGTGAAATCTTAATCAAATTAATTTTAAAAAAATTAATTTTCAAACATCACTAAAAAATACTTTCAATTACAAAATTATAGAAAAAAAATAGAAATTTAATTATGTATTTTCTTTTTTTATCATTTTTTTAAAGTTAGAATAACAAATCTTGAAAACCTACAAAATTTTCAAAAATTCAATAATTGAGCATGAGCAATGAAAACATAAGTTTGGTAAATTTGAGATGATATGTAATTCAAGTACACATATATCAAATATTTATTTATTAATATTTTAAAAAACATTTAGTCACGTACAACGTACGTAGTACATTGCTAGTGTAAGATCTAACAAAAAACCATTTTAATAAAAAAGAGAATACTCATTAAATGAATTGGTGTTTGTATCGAGGGAGCTGCAAGCAACCAATTAAAAGAATTTTTATAATCATATATAATAAAATACAACATAAAAAATAATTTTTATTTTTTACGGTTGTGATCATTTAAATTTGAGCAATACTATAAAAATCAAATGAAATTCAAAAAGTTGTAACTCAAATGCATATAATCCTTTGGATGAGTAGATCTCATTAATTTTTTCAGTGGGACGCACCATCTAAGAGATGATATGTATTTGGGTTTTAACTTTTGAGTTTTATTTGGATTATATAACATGTTCCTTTAAATTTTACTTTAAAATTAATCTGACACTAATATTATCTATCCAAATTTAATAAGAAAAATATGACCCATAAGGGCCTGTTTGGTATGTTTTTTGGGAGAGGTTTAGATTGGCTTGTCCAAACCCTTCTAAACTCAAATATGAAATTCAAATATGAGATTCAATATTCGACACTGTCTATACCCATGTTTGGTATGCGCACGAATATATGACTATTATGATAATATATTTGTATATAAATGACTATTATGTTCCTTAACCAATTTGGGTAATATGGGGTATATTGGATATATGAGGATATAAATGTAATTTGTATATTAAACCCTTTAATCCACATATGAAACACCCCCCCCCCCACCGGGTTTCATGAAACCCATGAACATGGGTTTAATTATCAGGTCTAAAGCAAGCTGAGTTTCAAACCCTAAACTAGCTATGTTATGTATATACCAAACATGGGTTTGTTGGGTTTTATTCCCCAACCCATGTACCAAACCCTCCCTCCTCCCCCCCCCCCCCCCCAAAACCACATACCAAATAGCCTCTAAGAGTGTGTGTTGGGGTGACTTTTCAAAAGTGTTTTTGTACTTATAAAAAAAGTAGTGTTTGAAACAACTTATTTTAACTATTTTCAAATAAGTTAAAAGTAGTTTTACCACTTAAATAAGTATGTCAGTAAAAGTAAAAAAAAAAACCTCTATTTCTTTAAAATCATTTTTCTACAAAACACTTTACTAGGGGGGTTCACCCTACTCTACGGGTAGGAAATATAGTCTTTCGTCTTCCTACCCGATATTATGCGAAAGAAATTTTTCTTGACCTACCCTACCCGATCAGGTGTGGTATTTCTACCCGATTAATCGGGTAGGAAGGTCGGGTAAACAATTTTATAACTATTAATTTTTGAATTATTTTAACAATTTAATTAAATAACATGCACCAATTTATCAACACAATAAATCAATAACATTAAAATCTAAAACAAATATAACACAAATTATAATTGTTTTAGCCATCAATCCACCATAATTGTTACATTGTTACACAAATACAATAACAATTATTTTAAATTTAAACCATCTGAAATACATTAATATCATAACTGCTCCGCCTGCGGCAATTCACCACAAATCATGTAACCTACACAAAAAATAAATCAATATTTTAGCAACTCAAACATCTACAACAACAACAATGTTATAATATAAATTATGTCACACAAATACTCTTATAATTACTAAAAAAATATAAAAAAGTTAAGTAACACCTTTTTTCTAATGTCATTCACCTCTCTTCACTCAAGAGCAATTGCAATTGAATCTGCAGTTATTTCTAAGATAAAAAAGAGTATGAAAAAAAAAATTAAATACGAAGAACTCATCAACAAATAATAAAAAAGTAACAATAAAAGTATAAAAACCTGAATCTAGTTTATAGTTTTTTGAATCCTCCAAAACATCTTCATAGTCATAAGCAATGGATGACGATTGAAGTCAATTTTGAGCACATATGAAACCCTCAACTGTTTTGGATGCCAGACAACTTTGAAAAGGATCTAAAATACAACCCCCAGTGCTAAAAGTCGATTCGGATGCCACCATAGAAACGAGAATAGCTAACACATCACGAGCTATTTTGGCAAGGATCGAAAATTTAGAAGGTTTAACCTTCCACCAATTCAAAATATCAAAATTGGCACAAACAAATTCAACATCCCCCATCAAATATCGATCCAACTCTAATTTGTTGTCCACATTACTTTTCTTAGCCTTATACTTGCGGTACCTATTCATGAAATTTGTATGTACTTGATCTTGAACAGACATCTCTGCTGAAGACACATTTTTCTCATGCTCAACACCTGACCCCACTCCACACCCCACACTAAATCTAGTGTACTGTTGGCATAATTGGTCAATGACCATTTTGATCTTTTCAACTAGTTGAACCTTAACTACTTCATCCTCAGCCTTATAATTGTCATTGCGCCAAAATTCTAAAACATCCAATTTATAGCGTGGGTCAAGGACAATAGCAACAAACAACATCAAATTAATATTATCTAAATGACCCCAATACTTATCATACTTGCTTTTCATTCTCAAAGCCATGGTACTCAAAAGATAGTCATCATCTTCACAATAACCTTGCAAATGATCATACACAATAGAAAGTTCTTGAAAAAACAAGTTAGATGTGGTATACAATGATTCAAAAATGCACAAAGTAACTTTATAGAAAAGTTTCAAAAACTTCATAAACACACGAACAATGTCTCAATCATCAAATATAGGTGGCCTTAAACCACCCCCTCACTCAATTGACTTACAAATTGCCCATCATCTTCTTGCAACAAATCAAATGCACCTTGGTACTGTTCAGCAACTTTGAGCATCAAATATGTAGAGTTCCATCTTGTTGGAACATCAAGGCAAAGAAGACCTTTTTCACCAATTTTTTGCCTCTCAACATGACTTAAACTTGTCAAGCCTTGAAGGATAAGACTTCACATATTTAACAGCATTTCATACCTTCAAAATTGATGTGTTCACTTCCTTCAAACCCTCCCTAACAATTAGATTCAAAATATGTGCACAACACCTAACATGCATAAATTCATTTTCTAAGATAGTGTTCTTCCCATCCTTAGTTCGCCTCTTTAAATAATCAAGAGAACCA